CCATCACATAGGAATGCAAAGGATTTGGGCAATCACTATTGCATTATTTCTTACCAACAAGAGGACTCTTTAAAATTCTATATAATCATTACACTGGATGCACATTTAAGATTATTTGTTTTTAGCATAGTTGATTATGAGGAAGCAACCATTGTGATTTGCAAAATATGGTTTACAGCTTAATGTGTGGGCGCAATGGTGGTTTATTCCATGAAGTTATTCATTTGCTTATTTAACTATACTTAAATACTAATAGCTCATATGATACCATTTAACTTAATTGTTCAAATATAACAGGTAATAAGCTGCTTATTCTTATCCCTTTTTTTAAAAAAAATCTTCTTAGAGTTGATTGCATTTTGTGACAATGAATTATGTAAGTTAAGTACTAGAAAATGCAATTATTACTGAGAGAAGAGAATATTTGTAGCTTGGGGTTGAACTGTGAGGTCCTTGGTGCTCTCTGTGCTTGGTGGTTTTCTTGCAGATGTTTCTTTACCAAACTATATAATATCGTCAGTTTGGTAATGAAACAGTTGCAAGAGAACCATCAAGCTCTGAGGACACTAAGGGCTCCACAATGCAATTGTTATGATGTATTTCCACAATTTCACATTAAACTTGCTGCTTACCAATTGATAATATTTTATCTGATTCTACTACTGTTACTCTCATGCTTTGTTGCTGTGTCAAGCAAATATCATATGGAAACATATCCCAGCCATCTATACATGGTTGCTATCATACAAAACTATTACTCTTTTTTCTTAGAAATAGATACTTGGCTATAATTGTGGCCAAAAGATATTATTTTGCTATATGTTAATGAAGTGCTATTAACTACAAAGATTCAAGCAAAATAAACATGTTATCTTTGTTATGTATAGGGAAGATTTCTCTGGACCTTATTAACTAGTGTGCCATTGTGTCTAATTTGTGTATTTCCTTTAATATCTTTTCGAGCATTGGTCTAGTGGTTAAGACATCAGATTAGAAACTAGAGTTCTAGTCCCACTTTAGACATGAAATCCAACTGGGTGATTTTAAGCCAGCCAATCTCTCTGTCAGACCAATTTACCTCAGGGGGTTATTGTTGTGAGGAAAATAAGAGAAGGAAAGAGTATTAGACATATTCACTGCTCTGAGTTATTTATAAAAATAATAAAGGCGAGATTAAAAATCTAACAAAAAACCTTAAGCAGGAGAAAAGAAATAGCAAATAGGTAGACTGAGAAAGAAGTCCAGGATAAAGTAATTGAACAAAATAATTCATTTGCAGCCACTCTTTAATTTAGTCATACCTGCATCCTCTTTATAATATTTCCACTTTTCATTGGGTACAAAAAATGTTGCTCTTTGCCTTTTCAACAGTTGATTACTAGTCTTCCTGATTAATGTACTTTCATGCCCTTCTATGGAAGATCAAATAGTTAAGAATTATCAGGAGCTCTTATAGATCAAATAGTTAAGAATTATCAGGAGCTCTTATAGATGTTAACTATTGCATAAATCCTAATGCTCTGACCTTAGTCATGACCTAAGATTTTGACCTGAGTTTAGCTAATAAACCATCTGAACAAATTATTTTCCTGCTGAATTAAGCGATGCTGTTTATGTCCTATCCCAGTGACCGGAGGTTATGGGGGTCTGAATAGGGAACTGAACCCTGGCAAGACTAAGTAGCTCTGGATTTTGGGGCCCTCTGGCTCAGGGAATATTCCATCTTTGGTACTGGGTGAAGTTGCACTCCCCCAAACAGAACTGGTATGCAACTATGGAGAGTCATCCTAAACTCACCACTCTGCTCAAAGAGCAGGTGACAGTTGTGGCTGGGAGGGTTTTTGCACAGTTTCATATCATGCACCTGGACTGAGAGGTTCTACTCCCAGTTACTCATGCCCTGGTCTCCTCCTGGGCGAACTAATCTAATGTGCTGTACATGGGGCTGCCATGGAACAGTATCTAGAAGCTTCATCTGATGCAGAATTCAGCAGCACAGGGAGTTTTACACCTGCCCCTAAAACAACACATATTACACCTCTGCTCCAGGAGTTGCATTGGTTGCCAATTTGCTTTCGAGTCCATTTCAAGATGCTGATTTTGGCCTTTAAAGCCCTTTGTTGCTTAGGGCCAGGTTATTGGAAGGATTATCTGCCTATCCTACCAGGCACTGTAGAAGAGGTCCTGACTGCGAAAATGTTTCATCTGGTAGGATCCAGGCAATGGGCCAGGGCACCATCCTGTGGAACATCGTCTTCCCCAAGGGAGATTGGCCACATCCTTGATACTCTTCTGGAAGTCCCTCAAAACATGGTTGTGTCAGCAGCCTTGAGGATCTGAAGGAAATGATGATATAATGAGATAGCTGCATTGTATTAACACCAATTTTTCTCTACTATCTTGTTATTAGTAATGTTGCTTGATGTCTTTTTAACTGTACTTTTTAATATTTTGATTTATTAGTTTTTTATTGTGCACTGTTTTGTTGACTGTCACTCATAAGCTCGTGACTCCCGTCTGGATTGCTGCAATACATTTTACATAGGCTTGCCCTTGAAGAGCATTTGAAAGCTTCAACTGGTGCAGAATGTGGCTGCTCAAGTAGTAAATGGTGTTTGATATTTGACGCATGTGACACCACTGCTATGTGCACTGTACTAGCTATCAGTGTACTTCTGGGTGCAATTCAAGAGGCTGGTATCACCTTTAAAGTCCTTCATGGCTTGGGATGGGGTTACCTCGGGTGTGTCCTTTCCCAGTTGTTTCCACCCATCCAATTTGGTCCAGCAGGCTGGCCCTGTGCAGGTCCCATATGCCAAGGAATGTCAGCTAGCAGGGATGAAGAGGCCTGCCTTTCTGTCATAGTGCTTGCTCTCTGGGACAATCTAGAGATTAAGATGGCCTCAGCCGTGTTGATGATGACAATGTTATCCATTCATGTCTGACTCTTGGTGATTCTATGGGCCAAGTCTCTCCACATCTTCCGATCTTGCACTACTTCTTTCAGTTTTTCTGTGCTCTGGCTGATGTCAACTTTGATGGACTCCAGCCATTCTGATTTTTAGCAGCCTGGTTTCCTTTTATTGATAACTTTTCCAAACATCATTGCTTTCTCCAGTGAATTCCCCTGCGTGACATGGCCAAAATAAGTGAGACACAAATTTGTGATTTTTCCTTCCAATGATACATCTAGTGTTATGTGTTGGTCTGCTGTATCAACCCTGTTTGCCTATTGTAATGTCTTAAAGATTTGGCTATGTGCCCAGGCCTGGGATCCTGAGGGTGTTAAGAATTCTGTTTCCTGGTTATGTTAACATCAATGGATTATAATTTTATCAGCTGCTGTATATTTAAGTTTCTTTTGTATTGTGCTTGTAGTTTGTTCTTAATCAATTATATGATTGCTTGCCATCCAGAGTCAATTGTTTGATATGGGCTACCATATAACAAATAAACAGCATTTGGTATTAATGTATAATACTTCCCCCCCTTTTATTTAGTGAAGTTGCATAATAATGGCCTGGAATTATTGGCTTTGATTTCTGAGGTGTGACTTCAACATTGTGGCCTCAGTTCAGTAACATAATATCAAGGAGATAAATAATGAGAATGCTGCTGAAAGCAGAAATGAAATCAAGTTCTGTATATTGTCCATTTATTCTATTTTTTTAATCTTTATTTTCTTAACGGGGCTAGGGAGAGATTTTACCACCTCCACATTATACATTCCTGTCAGTTAAAGCTTACCCCCCCCCAATTCATTCAAAGGTTTACTCTTCTACCTTTGTGTTTCTTGGAAGAAAAACACTTACTACCTGTGAGAACAATATACAGATATGAAAATCAAGAGGGTGTATTTTTAAGTTTTAGCCATCTCTCCATACGAGATACCTTCACTCTTAAGAACATTGAGTACATTAATCTATCAGGTGGAAAATGGGCTCTGCAGGCTGTTCCTTCTGCCCATGGGGTAGCCTGAGACTATACCCATCTGCTATGAAAACGCTGCGTCATTATCAGCTGCACATCAAGAACCAGGCATGCAGAATGAATGTAAAATAAAGAAATTCCTTTCTACACCAAATACTCAGGTATTTACTATGAACTGTGAGGATGCAATCTTTAAAACACATTACTGGTACTAGTGTTACATATTTTCTTAGAAAATATAGCTTAGTGAGCAAATGAATGTGTAGGTGTCATTAAGACAGTGTGTTAAAAATTGTTCCCTAATAACATGACTCTTTTTCAACAGGCTGCATACAAATGTGGTAATTCATAGACTGGGCTCACATCTCATACCGAACCGACATGTGGTTTGCTTATTTTTCACCCAGTATGTGTGAATCCAACCCACTGTGGTTTGTAAAATAGAGCTTATGCTTCAGTAAATTGTGTAAATGCAGGCAGTTTTTGTTTAATCTATAAACCATTATTAAACAAAATATAGGTTAGCAGAATGAGCAAATTCAGCCTTTAAATAATATATCAGTATGCTTTGTATTATAAGCAGAGAATGCTTTTCCCTATCCTAGAGAGTATATGAGATAGGATAAAATATAACAGCAAGGGAGTGTGTGCCTAGTGTGGATTAAATAAAATGTGCATGTACACATGACTTGGAAAGGTTTGATTTGTGAGTAGTAGCTAGTGCTGTAGATCAAAAGAGCCATTTTAGAAAATTGACTAAGATGAAATTTCATAGGGAAGGCTTGCCAGAAGGAGCTGGGGAAAAATGCTGAAGTATATTTTGAGAGGCAGAAGGAGAAACTGAGGTTAAAAAGAACAGAGGATAACATAACATATTAGGTATCTTGACTTTTTCCTTAGAAATAAATGGAATAATTGGAGATGTTCCTATTTCTAGGACTACTCCTGACTTTGAATGAAATGTCTTCCAGCATAAACTACTTATTTTTTTCTAGATAAAATTTTTAAGAGGGGCTGTTTGTGGGATTTCTGCTAGGTGATTCAAGGAAACCCGCTCTTTTTATTTCCAGATTACAGTTTTCCACTTGCTTCTCAAAAAGCCTTGCCCAAAGAAAATGGAACACAAGTGAAAGATGCCCAAGAACGCCCCACTTTTCATCCCGTATCTGATTCCCTTGATCCAGACTCCGAAGCCCCTTCCACCAGAGTCCTTGAGGAAGAGGAGGAAGAATTGCTTCCTATCAACCAGTCAAAGGGAATGACTCAAAGCAGGCAAATGTCAAAAACCACTTTTTCTGAAACATCTACAGAGGATTCTTTATATTCTATCCTGTTTGCCACCATGGCCAGCAGAATGGATCCAGCTACGAACAAGCATGGGAAAGAATCTGCGCTTGAGTATTCCTCTTCAGGCTTTGACCTAGGAAGCAGCATGGGACCCAGTCTCCTGCCCTTGTCCCCCATCTTTTCAACTGAGACTACTACAGATCCCCAGTTGGTCTCAGAACTTCCTCCCAAGATTACCCAAGAAAGCTCAGTGGCTGCAGTAGAAATAGCAGGGAAACAGTTAGCAACAGTAGCTGCAGTAGAAGGTGATCTACCAGAAAGAAAAGCTACAACACATGAGGAGGTTTCAAAACCTGTAGCAGGAACAATTGCAGCTGAGAGGGAACTGACAAGAGAAGATCTCATAGGTTCTCATGAGGACAATTTCCAAGTAACTGAGACTGTTTCCAGGACTCCTAACAGCCTATCAGATCCCAGCTCTTTGGCGCATTTTTGGGACTGGACCAGCGGACGAGCCCCAACTCCAACTGCTAATCAGGATAGCCAGGATACAAAAGTGCCACTCGTCACAACAGCTGCAGCAGAAAAGAGCTATACAGCACAAAACAGAGATCTCCTGCTTGCCTCAGGAGTTCCCTGGAGTTTGACACAGGTAAGAAAATTGTGTGTGGGCCATTGAGTGATGAGTATTTAAACTTAGAAACTCCTGTGTTTTTAAAGGCTGGGAGAAAACAAATAAACCATTTAACCTTGTTTTATGTTATTTACATTCTTCATCCAGTGTGATCTGCCTGTTAATTTCTTTACAGGTGGTTATTTTCATAACCGACACAAGCATGAACCAAAACTATAGTACTAAAGTGCCATAGATGTGCAGGATCAAAATCCTATTTTAAAAAGCTGTAACATTTTTCCTATAAAGGGGCTTAAAACTGATTAATTGAAAATTAATTTCCAGGTTCTCTTTAAGGCCCAAATCCTCTCAAGTTGGGTATATATGATAATATGAATAAAACAAATGTGAAAATCAATATACTGTGAATGTTATAATAGCCCTGCATATAGTAAAACAATTTTAAAAGAAATCTTCATTGAGTAATTAATTACTTGAACAATAAACTATCAAGTTTTAGTTTGGAGTAATTGAGATACATTTTTCAAAACCACGCTAAAACTCATATATTTAGAATAGCCTAGTAATAACAGCTTAGCATTTCTGCTTAAAGTATGAAACAGTAATTCTAGAATTCTTAAAAGTTTGAATAAAAAATGTTAACAGTAAGACTTCTGTAGGCATGTCAGCTGTTTTGATACAGTTGAATGTGTTTTGTTTCATTACATAGGAGCAAAACTTGCCAGATTTTTGAGATTTTTAATAGGTCTATTGTATTAATTGATCTATTTAATTTATTAATTTTTAAATTAACTGAACTGATTCTCAAGATATTTGAAGTATTTTTATTTTTTTCTCAGACATTCTTTTTTTTAATTGTAATTGTGATACTATGAAGACCAATTCTGAATTAAGTGTTTGTTCTTCTGATGTTCTTTTGGTGAGATTTATATTTTTAAAGGTTCAAATAACCTGATCTTGGAAAAAGAATGATATATATATATATATATATATATATATATATATATATATATACACATACATACATACCTAGAACAACGGAGTAGGCAACACATTGAATTTAGTTCCAACAAAGTGCTACACAGCATATAGGAATATGTCTATATGTACTATATTATTTATATGGTACTGGTATAGAAGTGTTTCACACTCAAGAAAGTATTGTATCAGCTAGCTAATATATAGTGCATTCTCGGAGATTTCAAAGGTTTGTTTTAGATGCATAACTCAGTTCATTTTTAATTTGTATATGGATTGACTATTACTAGCACAAACATTGTGCTTGTTTGTCAGTGCTCAAACAAAACTTTGAACATATATATTGTGTATGCCAGTTTGTTTAAGACATTTTCTTGGACTTCAGATACAATATGTCCAATGGAGATAATTTTCCCTTACAGTGGCCCAAAATTTAGTTTGAATTTTATGCACCTGTCTTATTGATCCATGTCTTAGTTTCTTGAGCACTTTGGAACCACAGTGGCCCTTGTTCTCAGATTCATCTACTGCGTCTACTTCTTTGAATATCAGCATCAGATCTGAGAAATATGCTACCAGGTAGAGTGTAAAATAAGGGATAAAAAAATTGGTTGTCTGATTTGGGATAAAATGTCATATTTGTTTTTTAAAAATGATTATGTTGTTTCCCAAAATATTTCCATGTTAACTGAGAGATGTCTTCATTGGTTTTGTTTTGTAGATTATCTGTAAGGACTGGAACAACCTGGCAAGCAAAAACTACATCATCCTGAACATGTCAGATAACATTGATTGTGTGAGTCACTTGCTTCTATATTTAAATCTCTGGTTCTGTCATCTACAATTTCCCCTCCCTTTCAATAATGCTTAATAAAAGTGGTTTATTATTTCCAGGAAGTAGTAAAATGCTATTTCATCATCAAGAGCAATATTTTGAATGTTCATTTAAAATATATCTCCTGCCACATTGGCCATTTATTTATTCATTTCATATATTTATATATAGTGTTTCATTACTGTAGATCCTGAAGCATTTTAACAAAATATGGCTGTACTATTTCTTAAACAATTATAAATATGTGCACATAAAGAAGTTTGGATAAAGTTTTTATATAATATTTCTGGACAGATTGCTGCTATTATACCCTTAACTAAGATGCTGCTATTAAATATTCCTTTTCCTGCACATATAGTATTAATTTAGGATACTAAATTTAGGATGGGAGGATCTGGATCTGACTCAAGAGAGAGATTTAGACTGTTGGGGTAGATTAAATGTGCTCCCTCCCATTAAATGAAACTTATTTTATAAGTTGCCTTTTCCTATTTTTCAGAAAAAAGGAGACACCCAGACATGGAATTCAGATAGCTGTATAGATTAGAACTTGATGAGAAGTTTGCTGATAGACTGGTAAATTACCTGCAGTTTTAGCAATTGGCACTGTAGGCTTTAGAGTTATATCTTTCCTCCAGTTTGGAGACAGGCAGTTTAAATAGGCAGCTTCCATTGGCAGAAGCTGTTTTCTTGTTCTACTTTCTTAGGTAAGGCATATAAGAGGACAAAATGTTTTCTGTTTCTTAATATAATGAACAGGAAGGAGGGAAATAGAGATTTTTTTTTTTTCCCCGACAGCAGCATAGCACAGCAGGACCTAGAAAATGCAACAGGTTATTTGCTCTCCTTAATTAATAAGCTATCCAGCAAATTTCCAGACATTATTTAGACCAGCAAGTCAGCCATTTCAGTATTTAGTATTTCTTGGAGTTTAAATTGTTGACAAATGAGGAAGATACTTTTTATGGATTTGGATGGCTGGAATGAAACAGATTTAGTTCAAAAGATTTAATAATCAAATGATGGTGATTGAGTAAGAACAAATTTAGACATTCTTCAGTATACATAAGTCATGGAGGGATAATTATGTCTGTGGTGAAGGAGAAATCTGCTCATGCTGAACATTTATTGTATTGCTCTGTTTGTAACCCAGCAGAAGTGGGTCACAGGTTCTAAAGATGCAAGGGAAGGAATATCTGTCTCTCAAGCTTAATTGGGTTGAGGATGCAAACAACCATCCTACTCTACAACAGACAAAGTGTTTATTTATGAAATTTATATGGCCATTCATCTCACATGAAGTGATTCTAGTAACGTACATTAATTAAAGCAATTATATAGAACAGTCATTATCATACAAAAAATCCGCAAGGCACAAGAGAGAATGACCATCAAATACAATAATGGAACCATCATAGAATGTCACTGGTGCCCTGGGACCCCAGGCCTAATGGCATAGCCAGATCTTGAGGGACTTCTGAAACATTGGCTGGAGCTAATCTCACTTTGGGGAGGAGAGTGCAGAATGTTCCCACAGCACAGAAGGCTCATCTCCTGGGACCTCCATGTATAGTTCCCTACCAGACAGGACCGTAGCATGCCTTTGCTACCAAATCCGATGGGATGGGTAGATAAAATTTTAGGAGAGGCAGTCCCTCAGATAATCCAACCCTATCCCATGAAGGGTCTTAACCTTTAGAGATTAAAAGTAGCACCTTGAACTGGACCCAGAAGTATGACTCAGTGAGTACAATAAATGCTTATTTAATTCTGCATTACATTCTGAACCATTACATCAAAAAATAAAATTGTATAGAATTCCATGCACCTAAAGGAAAGAGGTACATGTCAGCCATATAAGGTAGACCAGACTAAGAAACCAATGCCAAGTTGGGCTAAAACATCTCTTATTAAGATAGCTGTGATAACAGAATCTTGCAAGTCTGAATGTGCTTTGTTTCTCCCTCACCTTATCAACGTGTGAATTAGGTAGGGAGCCTGTCTGAGATACTTCCTCAAATTCATTTCTTGAAATGGATTTTAAGCTACATTTGTCTGATTATTGTCTTGCTAATGGGTATTCCCACTGTCTTTCAGTAGCATCCTCTGTCTTCTACAGTATACATCAGTATCCAATTCCTCCTCCTCAGTCTTCCAGGGGAACCACCAGCATTACGTTTATTGAGTAAATAATTGGGAAGCAGCAGAACAAGACTTAAATTACTTAAATGGATTAAATTACTATGGTGATGTGTACACTTTTGGAAAAGGATGGGCTCCAGCACGAGTCTGAAAGCTTGGAAGACTAAACCTCTGGTGCTGGTGACCGACCCAGATTGGATACTTACAAATATTGGAAGACTTGAAGGGTTAGGTTAGGGACGATCACCCTGCAGAAGATCTGTGTAGATGGTTGGTAAGAAGTATCAGGAACTTGACGGCATACAATCAATTAGGGAATCATGCCTGTGAAATGTAAAAACTTTTTAAATTGCATTTTTATTATATTTATCTTGGAACAATATTCTAGTCTAAGAGTCCCCCCATAAATGTCATATGTGAAATGATGTAATATATGGGAAGATTGAACAATGAGCTATATGAATCAATTTTATAAATAGCTTCCTTTTTAAAGAAAGGCAGTATATAAATCTTTAAAATAACCAAAGAAACAAATTAAGAATTCTGGTCCTGTCTAAACTGGGTTTTCACTAGAGCTGCTAAGTTGTTCTTATCTTACAGGAATATCAGATATACTGCCAGTGCAATTCTGATCTTTAGGTAGCCAAAATGGCACCAGTTATATTCAAATGGAGGCTTAATGAGATATTGAGATGTTTCAGTGTTCCAAGACCGATAAAAAAAACATGTTCATTAGCTTTAAAAAGATGTATGTCAGAGACAATCAAGGAAATAAGAAATGGTATATAATCATGAAATAAATCTGGTCTTGCCAGCTAAAACCCAAAACAGATTACTGCACAATGCATTAAGAGATCATGCTTTGGATCCAATTTTTTCTGCCAATGCAGTATGATTCAAAAATATTTAAAAGGTGGAGTGTTTGTACTTTGAGTAATTTGATAGAATGTAAATTTTCTTCTATCACATATACTCATAGTGGTAAAAGAAATTATAGGCATTTTCATTAATTTTTAAAGGCTATCAGCTCTGGTTGAACAAACATGTAGTCTTTTACTTTGTATCATGATGAAAGATAGTTCTTTGAGCTCTCCTTGTGTTACATTATTTATGCTGACATTTCTGAATTACAGAAATGGAAAAGAGATTGGAAGAAAGATGCACTGGCCATTTATTCATCAAGTTCTATCGAAAAGGGGTGGTATTTTTCTTTCCAGTCATATCAATGGAAATGTTATTTTTCTCTCAGGAACACATTTTTCTCTGCTCCCCATAAGGCTCTGACTGCTCAGTCTGTGTTGATGGAGGGAGACCTATCATTTCTGCAATAATTCTGCTGGTGTGGTCCAGGGATTGCATACTACTAACGCTGCTTTCTTAATTTATTTTCCTTTAGGGGGGGGCTTTCTTGCTCTGCTATTCCAGATTTTTATCTTCTGCTGTTCTGCCTTGTGAGCTGAGGTTCTGGTGGGTCCTTGTGATTCAGATCTGGCTCCTCCTTGTCTTTCCCCATTCAGCCTGTGCCAGCCCCAAGCATTTGAGGTTCCCATAGCAACTAGTAGTGTTAGCACATATTAATAACTAGAGTGGCCTTTGAGTTGGCACGGCAACTGAGCCAGAATAGATGTGGGGATGACATTGCCAATTGATGTGCAAGATCTTAGAAGAACAGGACCGTCTCTATCTGACCTGCAGTCTGGGTACAAATGATTAGACTCTTGTGCTTTAAAACATTATTAATTCTGCGTGTTTTTCCTTTCCTCCAAATATTGCAAATAGTGATGTAGGTAGATATATCCTTCTATCATCAATCAAGGCGGCATCTTGTCAGATCCTTATGTGTTACCTTCAGGACCTCCAGACTATTAATTCTGCATTTTTGTCTATATTTGAAACAAATAAGGAAGTGAAGTTTCAGGATACTTCAAAAGAGAAGAATTTTTTGTTCCTCCCTGAATTTTAAATGATAATCTCCCACTCATCTTTATCCCCAGGTTATATAACCAGCTGATAAAAAATGAATTTAATTGTATTGTGTGCTTACATAAACTACAACTGGTTGGTAACATTTGCTGCGGTCAGAAAATGACAAAATTCAAGAATGGTAGCAGTTAGAATGGAACTATTACATGAACACACATTTTGATCAATAAAGTTGATAGAGTAAAATGGAAATGGATACCTTTCAAAATCTTGGCTTTTAGAAGATCTTTTTTTCTTTGATATACTGTATTTGTGTGAGAAAGTGTGTATTCATGAGATCTGCTTGTTTTTACTTAGGCGACTAACAGGTATTTGTTTCTATAGGAAGAGTTCCGAGTGGAGAGAGGCCTCCGGTTGCTGGCCCTGATGGAGGATGCCTTCTCCAGATATGACAATGGATTGCAAGGGCAATGGTTGATCTCCTTAAACAAACCTAATGAGAACGACAAACATCTGTTGATGACCCTGGCAGGAGAACATGGTAAAATTTTGGTGAAAAATAAAGGGTGTCTGACTCTTATTGTGATTATTTCAGTCTTTTCCCTGTACAAGTATCTCTCATGCTGTTAAAACATCTAACTGGACATCATGAGGCATCATTTCAACAGGATTTTACTATTTCACAAATGAAGGATCCTGTCCTAGGATAACAATGCAGGATCCAATCTGGGTCAGTCACAGGAACTAAACTTTAGCCCTCCAAGCTTTTGGACTCATACTGGACCCATCTTCAGAGAACTTCTTTCAGCAGAATATTAGAGAAGTTTTGCTAGAGATATGTTCCCCGAAGCCACGAGTCTTAAAGTTCGGAAGACCAATTTTCTGATCCCAGTGATCAACCCAGATTGGATCCTGCATTTTACTATTTGTTCAGTAAATGCCATAAGGTACAGATAAGATCTCCCTCAAACTGAGCTCACTTTCTGCTAACTTTATAGTCATGTCCATGTAATTTTCACAGCAACAACACAGAAGAGGTTTGTGGAGGTAGTGGTCTTCTTCTAGAATTTTTTCAACTTCCTAGATTAGCCTGTACATAAAATTCCCTGCTTCCCTATCATCCAAGTACTAGTGCGATAACACTCTGGCTAGCCTTGTTGGATCATCAAGGTCAGCTAATACCTGCTTTGTACAACAGAGATGTGAACTGTGATTGGATTTTGAACGTTATATTAGGAGTCATGCTGTAGGACAAATAGTTGAGAAAGGTGAACACCTAAATCTTATTTACTTCATGATTTTCCATATGTATTTCCAATTAAATTAAATTAAATTAAAATTGCACTGTAGTGGCTGTTTTTGGAAAGGTTCTGTGGGACTTTCAAGTGAGCTTCATAAATCAGTATATTAACTCTTATTCTGTCAGTCATTTTTCAAACTATTTCTCCCCTTTTAAACTTTCACAAGATTCCTCCTGCTGTATTGCATTAGAATCTTGTGATATTTGCTTCAAACCTCTCAAGTTATTATATAAATCATAGCCATCCTACTCTTCCCCCATCATATTCTTCTACACATTTTTGTTGGTGCAGCATTTCTAAAGACATTCTTTGATGACTACATGTTATCATCTGAGCTGGTTTGTGATGTAATTTTCGATGTATGTAAAATTTTGAGTTGGATTTACAAGCTCTGTCCCAGATAGGGAGAATCCATTGCATCCCCACATACTCTGCAATGTTTTTTTCAGATCTCATTCTTATATTTCTCTCTAGATTGGTAAACACGTCCTTCACCTCCCCAATAGTGGCACTATTTCAAAAATATCAGACAGTGTTACAGTGAGATATAGTGGCAGCATGTGAAGACAATAAATATGTTTGTGTTTATGTGAGCGCGTATATACACAGGTGATTCTGGTCCAAGCAGGCCTATCAAGGCTTGCAGGCCAGCAGTGATTACTTTTATCCAGTTTGGACTGTGGTCCATTTATTTTTGGTTCCCATTACTGATGTTCCTGTACCAAACAGTTTGTCTCTAGGGTTGAAATATATTGTCGGTTCTTGCTTTTTCTTGCTCTGCCACCCAAAAGTAAAAGATCTATATCTTATTCAGCAAAAAGGTGAGTGGATAAAAACAAATTCTAGAATGATGTAACATCTTTTTCTCAACCATTTAATGTTAAAATGGCAAATGGTTGCTTATTTCAAACAGTTTTAATGCAGAGGTAGGCTTGCAATAAGTGGGCCTACAGAATGTTTACAGAGAATTTATTCTTATGACTGTGTATCCATGGAGGATAAATGGGGAGGGGGAAAAAATAAGACATCCCCAAATGCAACAATTGATGTACCTGTGTCAGATGACGGGAATTGGCATGATGAAGTCACTACATGCACATCAATATTTTGCATTGATTGCAGATCCCACTGGTTCTTGTAATAGTGATGGCGGGATGTTTGTAACATACCGTTTTTCTATCCATGTAGAACTCCACCCCTGATATGAACATTGTTTTTGAATTCTAAAACAATTCTAAAACATAAGTAGTACTCTACATTGAAATAGTATTCACAATTGTATTATTACTTTTAAACAGGAAATAATGCTTTGGTATAGAGTAGACATACTGTAATTCTCTACTCAAGAAAGCAAGCAGAAGAAGAGTACCCTGAATTAATGCATTTTTAAAAAATCTGATACATTTTCTCTCCTAGGGGTTGTTCCAACAAATGATGTCCTCTTGGCATTAGGTGATGTGCAGAAAAGTTTAGCTGAGGTAAGACCTTATGTACTTATATAGGAGAAGCTAAGCTGTATAGGGTAAATGAATTGATTTTCTCCTGCAACCATGCACAGTAGTCTCTTCTTTTCTGCCTGTTGATTACTGATTACGTTGTCACTACATTGTCAGTTTTCATTAGCTGTGAGTGATTATGTGGGTTTGTATTCTTGCATTGTATCATGATTTCCTGAGATCTGATATGGTCTTGTTGATTCTGTTTCTCTGACCAATTACAATTGATTAGACCTGCCAGCAGATACTGTAGAACCTGTGAATTTTTTTAAAGTGACATTAAAACTTCAAAGTTTATATGTGACGGAGATGGGTGGTTTCTAAATTTAATATAAAAATAAATATATAAATTAATTCTGCATCTCATTCTTGCTCATTGTATGCAGATAATTGGGGGTGTATCGTTTCCAGTAATTGAACTTTTCTGTTCTGTCTGTAGGAAATCCTCATTGGCTAAACTTTGCTTTGGGCTTCTCATTCTCTACCCAAATGTGATGTATGCTGAATTTCCTTATGGAAATTTGTTTTTGTACCCAGAATCTAGAAAGTTCAAAAGGGACCACATGAAGATCAGAGGGTTTTGCATAATGTTCTCATTGGATATTTCAGCAATATGAAAGCAATGGCCTCTTGATATACAAGGGTGATAAGTTTGTGCAGAACAATAGCTATATTGAAATTTGCACTTTTTACAAAATCTGACAATCTTTAGGATTTTTTGTAATGACAAGAAATATAAAAAAAAAATCTTCAAATCAAGAGATGGATGGATGGAGCGACCCGAACGAAGACATAAAAAAGAAAAAAAAATGTCCAAACCCAGTTCCTCAAAACTTACCTCTCAATATATTTTAAATCAGACAGAGCATATTTGTCTCACTATTAAACATTTCATCAGTTAAAACATACATTTACATGTAGTATTATATCCAAATTTTTCTATCCATAAATATGTAATAGTCATGAATTCATTGGATACTTCCAAATGACATTTTCATTACATGATTATTTTGCCTTGGACATGGAATTTTAGTAATGGTTGTCCATTTTTTCAGCCTGTAACCTTCCTGCATGTTCACCAAAACATTTACTAAAGAGAGAGAAATTGAATTAGCACACAATTCCCTCCAATTATAGTAATATAAGCTGTCTGAAAGTGCCTATTATTGGGACAAATTCATTTTCCCCAGGTCCAATTTGTTGTGTTGTGAATTTAAATATGACATATCATTTTTGCTGATTGTCACTTTTAATAAAATACGTGTACTGGAAATGAGCCTTCAGTTGAGCTCATAAGGACATACCACTGATACAAACAGAAAAAGCAGAGCTGGTTTCTGAAATCCCTCCCAAGCATTTGATTATAGCCCTGTGACCAGAAGGAAGAAGGGCTTAGGAATGGAGCAGTCAGCAGTTCCTTCTTTTTCCCCTAGGAAGGGTGTTTCCCCCTCCCCCAAAGTGCCATTTTTCAATTCAGTCTTTTTTTCTGCCAGCTTCTCCCATCACAACAAACTTGGTCCCATTCCATTTTCTTTTGGGGGAATTAATTGAGCAGATGGATGGCAGAACAGATATAATCCAAGCTTCTTTACATAATTTATTTCTAAAGTTCTGTTGAAATGAAAAAAAAAAAGAGGAAAAAGGTCTCACTAAGCACCTCACTCCCCTGAACTTTGAAAACGTTCAAGAAATGGTGATTTGCATGTGATCTCACTGCTTGAAGGGGCTGATTCTCTAAATGTTTACTTGCTGCTGTTGTAACAAAGTCCAGAGGGAAACAATGACCTTGTCATGAAGAAACATGCTTCTCTAGCAACATACATGCAATAAAATCACACTACCAATTCTTCTGGCCCAGTTACGCTGCCAAATACCCACTTCTCAAGAACCTCTACTGGCTGAGGTTTAAACCTCTTTGCCCAACTATAGCCTTGGTGTAAAACATACAAAAGGGGATACAAATGAACATGTAGAAGAGAGCATCCCCATGGTACCCAGGATGAAAGTTCATAATAGTTCTTCCAGAATAAATATTCAACAATAATTCAAAGAGAGTAATACCATGAACTGTGGTGGCACTGTGGTTAGAATGCAATATTGCAGGCTGACTCTGCATTCCACTGCCAGGAGTTCAAACCTGACCCGCTGAAGATTGACTCAGCTTTCCATCCTTCCGAGGTCGGTAAATGAGGACCCACATTATTGGGGGCAATACACTGATTCTGTAAACCGCTCAGAGAATGCTGTAAAGCACTATGGAGCAATATCTAAGAATAAGTGCTATTGTTTATATTGGGTGTCTAGGAGACAGCTCTGTGGCTGAATTTTTGTCTTTTACAATCAGAGCCCTTTCTTCAGCTTTGGAGGAGATGACTTGATGGTTTTACAGTCTTGGAGGCAATCTCCCAGAGTAAAACAGTTATATCTTAAAAATGCAAATGTTTAAAATGTAAACAAATAAAATTCATTGATTTATTTTCAGCAGGTATATAGTTTTATCATAACACAGGTTTTCTGGCTCACAATATTAAAATGCTGTTTGTACATAAGTATTTAAGAGACTTATATGCCAGTCCATTTTATATACAATAATCCCAGATAGTTCATAGCATAACAGTAAAACATCAAAAAAAAAAAAAACAATAATACTAACAGCAAGGCCACATCTCATGGTGACCCAGAAAGAGAATTCAACCATACAGCTGCTGAGTTCCAGTCTTACCTAATCCAGTGCCTGGAGAAACTATACATATACATATACATATACACATTCATATACATATACATATACATATACTGAGGTTTTTGCGGGTGTTTGTATGTAGGTCTTTGGTTATTCGGGTTTTCTCCCATGTAAAATTGGAAGTGTCTTGGCGATGTTTTGACGAAGTCCCATTCAAATAGAAAAAAAATTAAAAAACCTATTTACAAGGACAGAGAAAATTAAAAAAAACTTCATGTGGTTCTGAGCAGATCATAAATTTGTTGCTAAGCAATCTTATCTGGAAAGACTATTCCATAAATTGGACATTATTGCCAACAAACAAGTCATGCACTTCACCAGTCATCTGCCTCATTTCAGTTGAAGTAGGATCTCTGAAGAAATTGCAAGAATGTGTAGTATAAAAATTTCACATTAATGTTTTAGCTTTCAGTGCCCAATTCTTTAATGTTTTTAACCTTTTCATTGTTTTAATGCTGTTATTTATTTTATTGTAAGCTACCCAGAGTCGCTTGATAGTGAGATGGGCAGCATATAAATTTAATAAATTATTATTGCACTGAGTGTATTTAACAATTCATTTTTAGATTGGAATTCAGAACTATACAACTACATCAAGTTGCCAGTCACATCCCAGCCAGACACACAGCGATTATGGGAAGCTCTTTGTGGTGCTAGTTATTATCGGCTCAATTTGTGTCATCATCATTATCATGGGACTGATTTACAACTGTTGGCAGAGACGCATGCCCAAAATGAAGAACATGGTGAGTTCTTTCAGGTTTATGGGTTAAACTCATATTTTTCCAAACAAAAGCTTCCCGGTTGTTTACCTTATTTCCCAAATGCATTTTTTTTTCATTTTCCTCTCCCACCCCTGTTTCCTCTCTTCTAGTCACATGGTGAAGAACTACGATTTGTTGAAAACGGTTGCCATGACAATCCCACCTTGGATGTAGCCAGCGATAGCCACTCTGAGATGCAAGAAAAGAAGCCGAGTGTGAATGGTGGGGGAGCTGTTAATGGACCGGAGAGCTGGGATGTTCTGATTAGCAAGCAAACGAATGAAGAGGGAGAGGTGTTTGAGGAAGATACCCACCTCTAAGTGAGGATCCCACGTATGGGATTGCACTTGCGTTTGATTTAAGGGCCTAAAGCTGAGGGTGGCTCCTCAGGAACTCATTTTTTCAGTTTGGAATAGATCTGCTCAAAATGATTCTGAAGCATTAGCACAGTCCTGGAGCCAGAAGGGCCACCCTGAGCCAAGGGGGTGGGGTGGGGGTGGGCATGTTTGTCTCTTGCTGTCAGTAACACCAATGCTTTAATCACATTAAGATGCACTTGCTCTAGTCTTTTGGTAGAAGAAAATGGCCAAGTTTGAAAAATAAATGGTATCATGCCCCAACACGATGCTTCCTGAAAGATTTGCTGTGGAGGTAGTAGAGCAGCCGGAAGAACTGGGTTCATAATCTGTCTCAAAAAGTGCAATAGAAGAAGCTATGATGAAAAATGCATATTCCTTGAAACGCTTTGGGATGTAATTTTAAGACCATCTATCAATTCACCACTGATCCTGTTGCTCAGTTGTCCTACTGGAGGTTTTCCTAAAGCCACCATGTACCACAGAAGGGCAAGTGGTTAGGCTAAGGCATCTTTTCGTGGGCAGCAATTTTTTTTGAACTTCTCTGAATGGTTGTGTTTAGGCAAGAAAATATATTCTGCACAAGTTCTGACGTTCTGTATTGCCCTGACTTTAAGTTCTCATTTGATAGATTGCATGACTTCCTTACCTTGGTAATTATCTTTGCAATAGAAGCTCCTTAATGTGGATCAAAAATTCTTAGTGGAAACTGCAGGTTTAGACACGGCTCTGAATTACTCTAGCTTTGTTGGTGAAAATACAGAAAACTATTTTCCTAATATAGAATAAATTCCTACTAACATTCAACAAGACTCAGTATGTTCAGACAACATGATGAGTATAGCAGATGGTTAGTCAGGAATACATCATGCATACCAGTTAGCTCTTCCCTCACACCTCTTCCATGGCCATGGCTGGCTTTTAGAGCATATCATATTATCTGCTCATTTAAATGTGTTCCTCTAGCTGGCAGTGGGCAGAAATTGTGGGTAAACAACATGATTATCTATCATATTATCTATCTATTTATCTATCTCTCTATCTCTCTCTATATATGGTATCAACAATTGTTGGGCAGCTAAGAACTGCCAAGATAAATCACATTGTTATGATTACCCTTATGCTCTGAGTGCCATGTTGTTTAAATACAGCATTAGGGTAAACTCAGTGCTTTTTTGTATAAAAAAAAGGTGTCAGAACTCACACACATCATACAACTCACCTTGCCTACTCTACAAGGTTCCATCCCAAAAAGGTGCCGGAACTCCGTTCTGGGTGTTCTATGACAAAAAAAGCCCTGGGTAAACTAATATATAACTTTGGTAATATAGTTCTCTTTTTCCCTTTTTTGTTACTGTGAAGGGACAGTGCTGTATGGTCCAATCCAAACTGAGACTCTACATGAGGAGAAATGAGCCTAATCTTTAGCCCAAACTCCTTGGTTCTGAAAATCAGCACACATCCTATGATAGGATGATGATTCTATAATTTTAGAAGTTGAAAAAATGAGGTTTTATTTAAAAAAGCAACAGTAAATTATGATGAGAGGATGAATGACAAACCTCAGTGAAAAGATAGGGAGAAGGAGTGAGGTTCCTTTCCTGCAGAAAAAGAAAGAATAAGAACAAAAATGGAATGAGAAAAGAAATAGAGGATAAGAAAATATGGAGTTGTGTGCTCTCTTTTAAATATATCAACTGGATAAGACTGGCAGTTAGACCAGAATAGCAATAAATAAATAGTTTCAGCCTCAAAGGTGTTTTACTGCAGCTAATTTAGTTTCTAGGAGAACGAAGGTAATTACTGTCTCTAGTCTTTTTTGATCTTGGAGGAAACATATAGGGAATGCTGTTCTATAGCTATGCAATACATTGTAGTTTAGTCTCACTTGGTCTGTGTGAGCAAAAGATTAGTTAGCTTACAAGAGCCCTTGAGATCAAAACTAGAGCCAAGATTTCTCATAAGAATGGAAAGAGTTGATTAAACCAGAATGCCCCAAGGCTTTTCCAGAAATTCTTTTAAGAAACACAGAAGCAGAATTTGATTCAGTCCTATTCAGTGTTGATAAATAATCTTGTATTTTTTTGCTCTGTTTTCTTCAGAACATTACCATGTTGCACACACCCCATAGTGTCTTATTTTGAAAAACAGTAGATTTTTGACTGCATATCCAACTGAACTGCAACTTGCTCTTTAAGAGAAAAATTGCACATAAAAATTCATATGTACTGAAAGAAAATTGACAATAATTTGTAAATGAAATCTATATGTATCTCATCTATAGCTCACTTTAAGTACTGAAAGCTGTCCCCATAAGACATAAAATAATTTTTAGCGCAGTTTAATTTCAATTATATATATATATATATATATATATATATATATATATATATATATATATATATATATATATATAAAGGTCTTTGGTTATTCGGGTTTTCTCCCGCGTAAAATTGGAAGTGTCTTGGCGACGTTTCAACGAAGTCCCATTCGTCATCTTCAGGCTGGTGTTTTTGGCAATTGCTTCTAGAAGCACGAAGTTGAAAACACCAGCCTAATGATGACGAATGGGACTTCGTCGAAACGTCGCCAAGACACTTCCAATTTGACGCGGGAGAAAACCCGAATACCTAGATTCCAGTTGGGGTAGTAAACTTGTGTAAATTGTATATTTCAAGATTACATATTCCTTCTTGTGGGGGAGATACATGCATCTTAATTTCTAACTGATGCTGTTTTTGAGATCTTTTGTATCTTTCTTTATTGATTTGATTTATTGTTTGTCTTCTTTTTGTCCTAACTACAGTATATCAGGAATTATGAGGAATAATTAGTTATAACTCTCTTTGTAGCTGATGTTTTTCCTATCTTGATTAAAAGAAGCGCAACCACATTTAATTACTTTCACTCATATTTCCCTAAATTTGTTTTGCTCTTCAATTTGGTTATTTTTTGCTGTCAAATTGCATGTAGGGTATGCCAACCAGCCATCTCTGGGACAGAATATGAGTGGCAGAAAATGGCACCATTCAATATTAAGCATGGCAATAAAAGAATGTTCATTTAATTCAGGGGTGTCAAACTCGCAACGTCACATGACGTGTCGCGACGTATCGCAACTTTTTTTCCATTGCCAGCAATGGGGTGGGCGCGGTTTTGGCATGATGCATCCGGCCTGCGGGCTGGCAGTTTGACACCCCTGATTTAAATGTAAGGTTAGAAATATTGCTTATGATCTTTCCTTCCATATACAAGAACACACTGCAATCCATTATAAAAGATCTTGTTCAGTTGCACCTCAAGGAATTTAGACTCTAGGCTGCTAGTGGGTATTAAAGAGGGCAGGGCAGGATAGATACAACCTGTCCTCAAATAGGTCTCACAAAGTGTCTTATAATCCAAGATTCCTCTTTCACGCCACTCCCAGTTTATTCCACCGATGGCTTTTCTTTCTCTGCATGTTAGAAGGATGTTAAACATAGTCTTGTGAGCAGATGCCAAAAGGAGTGTACTGAAGTTGCATTCAAATAAGATTTTTTGAATAAGACCAAGGATTCCCAAGTGCTGATAGCTAACTGATCCAACTTTTTGTTGAGCAGTTAATTGCCATGACACAGACCCACTTTCAAAATCTTTTTCTTGTCTTGTCTGCAGCTGGTGGTATTTGGTTATTTTATTATTATTATTATCTTGCTCTATCTGGTTTTAAGACTAATTATTTGACTAACCCATTCTGTTTGTGTCAATTTGGAACCAACTGAAGAACAGCTACTTCCATGTTTTCACGAACTTCTGCTTTTACTTTACAAGTTGTTCATGGCCAGCAACTCTGACATATAGTAAGACTAGCATCACCCTACCTTTTTGCAGTTTCTTACATTGTCTTACATGCTTTCATAAGATGTCTGCCACATGCAATTTGCTTTGAATTATTCCCTGGAATGGTTTTTTATGTTGTCCAGAAAATTTTCCCCAACCAATATGTTCAGTGGCTGGGTTCATACATAATGGACTAATTTAAAATACGATCAGGGAGATTGTGGTTCACTGTGTTATAGAAATCTATCTACAGTCTTGCCCTAATCTTAACATGAACAAGATCTTCACATTAAACCATACCATAGTTGGCCATAGCATGTTATATAAACTCATTAATAGGGTTTAAGGCTATCATGTTATATAATCCTAACTATTCTTTGATTCTGAACACCCATATATTATCCTAATCTCTACTCTGTCTTTTCTCAGTCTTTAGTCTTTTTCCTATCAGGCCTTTTTCCTACCAAGGTCTTGGTGAGTTAAGGTATTTTGTTATAATAATTTATTGTAGCAATGTAATGAACTCACCTGTTCTTTTATTCAAAACTTTCAACCAATAATACAAAACTGGGTCTGGTGAGATTTGTTGATGGGAAAGGGAGGAAGGGAAGGAAGTGAACTGAAGACATATTTGCAAAAATACCTGCTTTATAACCAACATCTTGCTTTGGTTTCTCAATAATTATATTAACTGATAAATTTTGCACTTATCCTTTCTTTCTGTAAGAAGGCAGGCCAATTAATTGAAAACAAAAACTATATATTATGACAATTTATTAATACAACATGACACCTTGAAAACAACATAGATATGATCAAATGCTACACTGTTTCTTGTGTTCCTATTTTGGTTTTTAATAGCATCAATTAAAGTTTTAAAAAATGCATATTTATTATACTTGCATAATTTTTAAAAAGCGACTGTTAATCATAAGTTGTAAGACAGAGAATGCTTTCAGTCTAGACAAGGGTTTTTTTTATTAAGCCTTCCCTTGTTTAAAGAATTTTATAAAAGTATCCAGGCACTGTCATGTTTAATCTGTTATGTTGCCTTCTTTTCTATTGCTTTTCCTATCTTTTTGTTTATTATAGAAAAAAACTCATTAAGGAGTAAAATGCAGAATAATCACACAATATTTTTCTATCTGAGAGAACTCAAGGCCCCTAAATTACAACCTTCTGTATAAGCATAGAAGGCAGCCATAGAAAAGCAATCATAACTACCCACTTCAGCTGGATAATGTCTTTACTGAAATCAAACAAAATGGTAAAAATAATGGGCAAGAATAAGAGGGAGATGGTCCTCTTCCACAAATTAAATTTGTGGCCATCTTGGCAACTTATGTTAAACCACACTGACCTCTGGTGGCTAAGAAGAGACCCAGACAAATTCAAGCTACTTTTGTTCCCCACCTACCCCCCATTCTGTACTCATCCACAAATATAATTATTTCAGTACTTTTTCAGTATTTGGTATTAACTGACAACTCTTTAAAATATGCTGTGTTTAGCGAGTTAACAATCACTTAGGAGGAAAATAATGGAACAAAAGGTTTGTATATTAATGCTGCAAGAAGACTTCTCTAGAAAAAAAAGGTGCAATCTTTTAGAGTTTATTGCCAATCAAGATTATAATCCAAGCAGTAGTGGATAATTGGTGGATAATTGCTAATTCCATCAATGAAAATAACTATGGGAGTATTCCATCTTTTTTTCCCCTGTTAACATATCTTGTTTGATAACAAAAAGATTGTAATAGAGCAGGAGTCCTCAACCTTGGCAACTTTAAGACTTGTGAACTTCAACTCCCAGAATTCTGGGAATTGAAGTCCACAAGTCTTAAAGTTGCCAAGGTTGAGGACCCCTGTAATAGAGAGCCAGTTTGGTGTAGTGGTTAAAATACTGGACTAGAAACCAGGAGACTAAGAGTTCTAGTCCAACCTTAGACATGAAAGCTAGCTGTCTCAGTCCAACATACCTCACAGGA